AAAAAAAAAAAAAAAAAAAAAAAACAGAGCACATTAGTCAACAACGCACATGGATATTTTCTCCTTTCTGTGCTGAGGGAGATTTGAAGGTCAGATAATTAGGTCAACCTCTGACTAAAAATTAAAGAAGTTCAGTTTTTAAGCTCGTTTATATGGATGATTGAGTGATTATTCAGTTTATCCCTTGGCATGTTGACTTTTTTACAAATAGGGTTGAATTGAGTCAAATAAGGAACTACTGGCAGTGGTTTATATGGATTACTTGGGAATCCACGTTGGGTTCAAATGTATCTTATAATGTCCACATATTGTCCTTGTACTTACGGTGATGATGTTAGCATTGATGTAGTCACCACCGACCTGGTTACTGTCATCGTCTCTGAGCAGCACTCTTGTGTGGTCAACTGCAAAATGGGTCAACAATGATGGTTATTACTGACATTTTTCAAAGGCTTGCTCAAATATTTTCCTTTTTTTTGCAAAATTTATAAAACATTAGTTACTTGTACAAAATCTGTACTTTAAAGATGAAGCCAACTTACTTTTCAAAACCTTTGAAACAAAATATGATTTAAATTTATGGAAACTTCACCATTTTTTAAATTAGAATAGAATAGAATATCACTATAAGGTAGTCTGCTTTTCAGTTTTTCTTGCGACCACTCAATAGAATTGCTTTTATTTTAAGAAATTATGACTTAAAAATTACAGTATCTGTCAAATTCACAATTTTCCCCCAAATGAAAAGATTGAGTCATTACCGCAGTTCTTCCAGTACTTACATGGCAGAATATTCTTGTATCTATTTTTAGCTTTATTCTCAGGTCTCTGTCCTTCCTTTCTGCTGTACAAATGCTTACATTCCTGCTGCTGCAATTGCTGTATTCAAAAATACACGAATAATTATTAAGGCATATAAGGTGTTTTATTTTCAACGTAAAGAAATACTCATTAAAGGCATAACAAGTGTCCAGCAATCAATTCACAAAAAAAAAATGCGATCAATGTATCGATTTTGCAATAAAAGTAAAACATTACTGAACAACGTGTACCTCAAATTCCTCCCAAAATCCTGCTTTGGGCCCATTTTCCTTCTGAAGTACCTTCACCCTGTTCTCTATGCCTGACGCATTGATTCTAGTTGCATTGAATGGCTGAAATAGAAGGGAAAAACTCACAAAATATAAAGTTTTTAAAATCAGAAAAAAATGGAAGGAATAGCAAACTTAAATCAAATTCCCGTCATAATGGATGTCCAAATTGGAAAAAAGGAAATAATAAAAATAATAATAATAATAAAAGAAACAGAAAACATAATACTCCATGTTCTCCATATTTTGTCCACAAATATCAAGTACAGTAATTCAAATGGAAATTCAGCCCCATAACGTGTGACACAAACAACAACTGATGAACCTGGTTGGTGCAAATAGTGAATAGTGTGTGTGTGTGTGTGTGTGAGAGAGAGCGAATGTGTACACACACACACACACACACACACACACACACACACACACGTGTATGTTGTAAAAATTGAAACATTGAACTCACATTTTTGAGGTGTACCACAGTCCCTGATGTTTCCACCATGGGGTTTTTCCTATAGTGCTCCACCAGATCTGAGAGGCTTTCAAACTGCTCTCCACCCCCCACGTCATAACGCCCATCCTAAAATAAGAACACACACAGGTTTAGCATAATTTGATTATATTAGTAACAGTTGTTTTTTCCTCAGAGAAGAATTTCATCAGCTGTGCTATGTTATAAGAATGATGTAATTTTTCTACAGTCAACAGCTAATATCGTGATCGTTTTTACCTCCAATGTTGTATTCACCTGGATAGCCTCATTCCCTGATGAAGATGTCCTGCTAGACATCGAAATATTGGAGGTAAAAACTATCTCAATATTAGCTGTTGACTGAAGAAAATTCACATCATTCTTAGCAGTTTTCCTCATTACTTTGAATTGTTTTATAATTTTTAGATTTTTCATTCCTAACTCAGCCAACCCTGTTATAGGGATAACGTGAATACAGAAGTCTACTGAATCTGGCTTTGGTCCAACCAACAACTTGTGACTAAATGTATACCACTGAAAACGAACTTCCCATGACTAGCGATCACAATGGAGATAATTTCCAAAAGTTGCCTATGTATAACCGCCTTGACCAGGAAGTTTGGATTTATAACACTTTTTGTAAGAGCATGCATAAATCACACATGACAGAAAAGTTGGGATGTTTACAACACTGTGGCAAAGCTCACATCAGTGTAATTGAATAGCCAAGTCAAAATATCGCACCATCTGCTAATATGGTTAAGGCTAAAACAAAATCAAATTTTGCTACTACCCACATTTAGGTCTTAATTTTAGACAACTAAGATCATGTCAGGTACCTGATTTACCTGTGTTGTACCAGTATTATCATCAAGGAAAGTGAACACTATTCATATTTCTGAATGCCACAGAAACCAGAGAAAGCACAAAAAGTCGTAACAAAATTGATGAGTTGGTGAACAAGCACAAGCAATTAAAATTAGTTCCTAGGAAATCACATTTTTTGCAGAAAAAGTCTCGATCAAATTGATGAGTTGGTTGGCAAGACCTTACTTTTAGAAAATTAGATTTTGTGTACATATTTTTGGTAACAAATGAATTGTGCACGAATTTGGTAAGTGGAAAAAATTACATTTCCTGGAAAAACCACAATACAGTCGGTTTCTTTTTTTATATCAGAAACCACCCACACAGTGGACTTAAAAGGTCTCTTCCTCTAAATAAAAACACCAACCCTAAAATGTGACTGCTAAGCTCTTAACAATTCAGGTGTTTAAAAAAATTAACAAATTTTGCTTATCAACCATGTTTTCAAAGCGCCACCACCTCATAAACAACCTAACAATGTTGTCCATCCTAACCACCAGTCTTGTGTCTCTTCATGACGGGTTACCTTACAATATCATCAACACGCTAACCCAGATGCTGACAGTAAAGCCACAACCAGGAAAAGTTGACGGTGATTTATGTGGAAAAGTGGATTTGATAAATGTCACGAAATGCCACGATTGCTAAAAATACAGACTGAACAGATTTTGAAATGTACACCTCCAAAGTATCATGTAGTATATACTTTCTGAGGCACTTATAATTTTTTTTCTAATAAAAGACATATTGTCCCTGTTGCTTTATATTAGATTGATGCCCGCATTTCACTGATTGAAAGAAAAACGAGCAGAAATTTTATCTTGTTTGGAACACTTCTCATGATTAGATCCCATCTGGTCTCTGGACTAACCAATTCCCATGATGTGAGCTATGACAAATTTTCTAAATATTTCACAGCTTCATGTTTCCAGTATTTCAGTCAGTCATCCTTCATAAACTGTTTTTATGACTTATATTTTTTCATTTCTTGAAAATACCAAAACGAAAAATTTTCATCATATCAGTAACAAATCAGCATTACTAAAAAAATATTTTCCTTTCCTTTACTATCAGAAAGCACCTCAGAATTAAACAATTATTTGCTTGAGAGTTGAAAAAAAACGAAGACAAAAAATAATTACCTGGGTGCGTATCATTATATGTGTCACCTTATCTTCGCAACGTACAGACAGGACAAAGTCACCAGGCTTACTCTGACTCTCGCGTACTAAAAAGCTCCCATTACGCCCCTTCTCCACCAGCACACGCTCGGCCTCCTTGCCCGAGATGTGACCATGGAACCACCTGAAACAGATCATGAGATTCATCAACTGAAACAAGGCAAATCTCAGTCTGTTGCAGCAAAAACACCTGGCAAAGGTAGTTGAGTTCGTTGGTTGTACTTAGAAATCAGAACGACAAATTGATGTTCTTCTGACATAATAAATGAATAAATACATGAATTCCTTAGCTAACTTGTCTAGAATTCAAAAAGTTTTAAAAAGACAGGTGATATTTTGTCAGAATTTATCTGAACATTATAATTCTTGAAAAAAAGTACATTTTCAGTTAAAGTAAAATCATTTGAAACTATGAATTTTATGCCAAAAAAAAAAAAAATTACAAATTCAACCCAATACTGACTAATTATCATGGGTTAACAATGCCACACAACACTTCTCCAGTCTCACCTCTCAGTGGTAGGGTCTGCAGAGTTGAGCGGATACTTGAGGTTAATGATCTCTCCGTTCTTCTCTTTCAATGTCCCCTGGTTTTCCATGTGATACTGGACCAGCTCGGCCAGGGTCGCAAATTTCTCACCTCCGTAGAGATCGTAGAAGTCGCCAGTGTTCTGAATCTTGATGTGGGTGACCTCCCCATTTCTCCTGAATAACAAAATGAGATTAATAAGCAAATTATTCATACATAAATTCATTAATTAACATGATGGGAAATTAAGAGAAGATTTCAGGAAAATATTTTCCTGATTGAAATAGCAGAAATAGCAGTTGATTAGGATTGGGCCAAAAATAAGAATAGTAAAATATAGAAAAGCTAGTGATTATACAAGTAACTTGGAAACAAGAGGTGTTTTAGGCTGTTAATCTGATTGCAATCCACAAGAGTGCTTTATCAGTTAGTGTGCATTATCTAGGTCAACAAAACTTATTGTGAAGGGTGGCTAAAAGTGTGAAATCCCTGTGGTCATTTTTACCTAGATATTCGACTCACCTGACTGACAGAGTAAAATCCCCAGGATTACTTTTACTTGGTCTACAGAGAAAACTGCCATCAAAGCCTCTCTCCGATAGCAGCGTGCCTGCCTCCAGGCCAGAGATATTGGGGTGAAACCATCTGGAAAACATGAGAAAATACAGGCATATATTACATAATATATCTTTCTTCATTTTCTTCAAGAGATACCATGTGTTTCTGGTTCAATGCATGTCAGCATCATTTTCAAACTTCTATGGAATACATGTTAATGACAGTACTTGATCTTTTCATGGGGGAAATTTTGTGAATTTTACAGATACAGCATTTTAGAGTCAGAATTTCTATAAATTAGAACATAACTATTAAATGGTAGCAACAAAATTAAAAAGCAGGTTACACTATAGTTTTATTCTATGCTGTAAAAGCACAACAAACGCTTCGTAAAATATTATTTTTGTGATTATAAAATAATGCATCTGAAAGTTTGATTATTTTTGTAAAACGCACATAACAGGGTAATGACTCAGTGTGTTCAATGGGCAAAAATTATCAAAAGAACCATGGTTAATGTGGTAAAAAAAGTTCTGATTAAAACTTGTTGAAGTTCAGAATTTTGAAATATGGAAATATTAAAACGAAGAAGATAACCTGGTCTAAAAATTCAAAAAATTGTTTGTTTTATAAAACATATACAGTACTGCGCACTAGGGTAACATGTATGCTATTTACTGGTTTTATTGTTATCCAACTTCAGATAGTTCAAACTGTTGTAAAGATAACACCACACTGTATAGATCTCTACTCATATCTTTACACTGCTCATTGATAAACTTCCTCTCAACTAGAGAGAACTTCAAAAATGCTGACCTCACATGTAGAAAAGGGCAATGAAAATCTTCATGGGTCTAATTCTAGTCAGAATGAAACTAGTCCGATTGAATTTGACACCCAAACTAGTGTTTACTTAACACAGCTGATAAGAACAGTTGAACAGTCAACATCCTGATTACAAAAAAGCAATTTATATTCAGCCTTAAGTCTTGGTTACATTAATATTCTGACTAACCATCTCACTGATATCACCTGATAAATCAATTTAACAAGGTCTATAAGGTATTTACCTACTGATGTAGGATTTTTACACAATGGGGGAGGGGCAAAAAGATTTTTTAAATTGATTTGGTTCACTAAGAACTGATAAAAATATTTTACAATGACATGTGGGAAATAGAAAATTGCTTGGAATGCTCTTATCTATTGTGTTGTAGTGGCTTGATCTATCTATCTATCTATCTATCTTTATATATTCTATTCATGAACTTTGTTTCTTGAGAAGAGAGTGGAGGGGGTAGAGAGGGGAGAGAGTTACCTCAACAGTTCGAGGACTCTTGACACACTGCACCCCCCTCCCCCCCCCCCCCATTCCCCAAGTTCCCAACCCTGTTTAACAGCTATCTTTACCTGTATTACTTGAGAGTTTGCTCATGTATAATATAAAGGGTAATTTATTACAAGCGATTTTGCATGGATTTTCATGCTATATGCTAAAGCATGGATTTTAGAGGTAATCAACAGACAGCAAATTGGTGTTTTCTAGGGGCCGTAGGGATAGTCCGAAGGTTCAATAGTCCGAAGGTTCATTGGTCCGAATGTTCACTAAAAAACCTTCGGACCAATGAACCCTTGATTAAAAAATCGATAAAAATGTTACCACTTTTCGGACCAATGAACCTTCGGACCAATGAACCCTTGATTAAAAAATCGATAAAAATGTTACCACTTTTCGGACCAATGAACCTTCGGACTATCGAGACGCCCCCGTTTTCTAGATGGTTCCAGTTCCTTAGGATAAATGGATTCCTGAATATCTCCCCATGTCATCATGAAACAGTGATCATCATTCTGTGCACCTTTTTAACATATGACAGTCAGTTTTTATGATCCGGAAATTTAGTTTGTGTGTTTGTCATGACTTTGCGTTTGCCTTTTCTGGTAAATTCTAAAATCTCACCTAATGCGATCACGAATCTTTCGCAATTGTCTAATTAACACATCTACCTTAAATCACCCAAATCCCAATATTATCAATCTGATTTTAAAAATATAATTCCATGTCGGATATCTAGCATAATATCAAACCGCAACTTGGACTTGACGTAAGAAAAGTCGGTGATCCTGATAACAAACATTCAACAGGTCCGTCACATATCAAAACACCACCAGAAACATGTTACAAATGTTGCACGGAAACACTGATACATTCAGTGATATGTTGTTACCAACATTAGCCGGACTCACCGTCTTGAACTCATAATTTGCTGTTTTTTCCTCTCCAGGAAACGTTCTAGACCTCAAAAGAAGCCCGATGGCGAAACCGGAAATGCCTCTATTTCGATCTTACTTCCGCATTGATTAGGCTAATGTGTCAGCAAGAGGCCGCGGATCCTCTTTTTGGTGTATTATGCACCCACCTTTTATAATTATGTGTTACATCATGAAAGTGCGTCCAATTTATTATTACGCATTAAATTCCCAACCAATATCACTGGGGTGATTTGCCAACTTTTTGAGAAAAGGGCAGGACACAAAATGGTGGAAAAGGCATCTCAGGCCACGAGAAATATGGCATCACAGGCCAGTGAGTGTACCACCAGAAATAATATGGGCGGCCAAAAGGGCAAAAAATCATGTCGTCGATTCAGTTATGTTTCGTCGATTCACTGCCTTCCCATCGATTCAGTTTCAAGTTTAAACGATCCTGTCATAAATTCAACATCTACTTTCGTCAATTCAACTGTCAAACATTTCTCATCTACGGTGTATTAAAACCAATGCTGTCACTATTTTCGTCGATCGTGTAACTATTCTCGTCGATCGTCTAATCTCGTCGATCGTCCAACTAATCTCGTCGATCGTGTAACTATTCTCATCGATCGTCTAATCTCGTCGATCGTGTAACTATTCTCATCGATCGTCTATTCTCGTCGATCGTCTCATCGATCGATCGCCAGAGGGCGCTGCGGTAGCACATTGGCCTATCACATGACTATCAAAATGGCAGACAACAAAATGATTGCTAGTGAAATAAGAACATTTTCTCAACAATTTCAATTTTAGTTGTTAATAATTAAAAGATATTCGGTTGTAGGGACATTATTTTCTAGTTGTGCTTAACTCTGACCATGGCTGGCCGAGTTAAAAATTACCGCGTGATTGACAGACAGAAGCACGTGTTGCTACCGCAGCGCCCTCTGGCGATCGATCGATGAGACGATCGATGAGAATAGTTACACGATCGACGAGATTAGACGATCGACGAGAATAGTTACACGATCGACGAAAACAGTTTGACGATCGACGAGATTAGTTACACGATCGACGAAAATAGTGACAGCATTGGTTTTAATACACCATAGATGAGAAATGTTTGACAATTGAATTGACGAAAGTAGATGTTGAATTTATGACAGGATCGTTTAAACTTGAAACTGAATCGATGGGAAGGCAGTGAATCGACGAAACATAACTGAATCGACGACATGAATTTTTGCCCTTTTGGCCGCCCATAAAATAACCCTTTCTATGCAATCTCGCTAGAACAACTAAAACAATATGTTTTATTTGGTTTTATTACGGATGTTTTATATAGTAATTTTTTTTTTTTTTTTTTTATTTTTTTTGAATACAATTGTTTCATAGGATTATAGGGGAAATATCACTAGTTTACACCATTACTAATAGATGGTGCAGAGTAATAGGTTCCACGAAAATATTACTTAACAAACACTTGCAAGCAGTCACAGTTGTTTGATAATAATAATAATAATAATAATAATAATAATAATAATAATAATAATTCTGATAATTTTACTTGTAAACAGCACTATAAGACGGAAGTGGAATGCGGTTACGTAATTTTTACAAAATAAATATTATTATTGTAAATATTATTTTAATATTATTTATCATTAAAATAATAATTAATTCCTATGTCATCTATTTATTTATTTATTTATTTATTTATTTATTTATTTATTTATTCAGTAAACTCACTGTCCTGTAATGCCTTTTTGCTAATTTTTTTCTCTAGTCCTGAGATACCGTTTCCGCCATTTTCTGACCTGTCATGCTGTTTCTCCAAAAGCAAAGCAGTATCACCATCATGCGTTCTTTCCTGCCTCCTTAACTTAAAGACCTACATGCCCCTTATAGCATGAGATAAGGAATTATAATTTTTAATGCCCTGCCATTACCACGCTTTAAAACCAAAAATTATATTTATTGTCATTCATTTCAAGTTTTTAAAAGTATATATTTATATTCCGTACATTATTCTTATGGAATATGAGTTTCAATAATCTATAAACCAACATGGATCTAAGCGACTCGGAAAAGTGAAAAATCGAAACTCTTGTCCAGACGTCTCCTTGTTAAACCAGTCCGTGTCCACCAGGTGAGTGTTTGGCGATATTATTTATTGTGTATTGAATTAGATTGAAAGTACACCGCTACATTGGACCATTTGCTTGTTTGTTGACTGACTGTCATAGAGTTAATTTCGCCAGGTTATGAGGAAAAAATCAATAACAAATCACGAGTTCTGTGGTTAAATTCGTGTCACTGTCACAATGTCAATGTCATTGTCACAGGCAGTGTGTCACTGTCACTCGATAGATGTCAGCTCGAAAGATTTTACACAACCTTCTAAAGCTTTCAGTGTGTTATATGCTATGCTAAATGTCTTCTCTTGTTTTGTTTTCTTGTACATGAAACTTAATTAATTTTTCTATTTATACATGTACCAGGGTACATGCATGTGCCATTACTAACTGGTAGTACACACCTGTGGATGGGGTAGCGCTAACACTCGCCAATTTAGCCAAATGCTAAAACTGACTTAAATTGGCTAAAGAAAAAGGGCCTGATTTGACTTGTTTTAGCCAAATTCTAACCATTATGATAAGAAATTGAAAAAATGTGATGATTTGACTAAGCAAAAAAAATTGCTAGTGCTACCCCAGTGTGGTATTGTATATTTTTATCATTTGTGTAGAATGTTAGAATATTAATCACTATCAGTGCTTTCATGCCACTTTTGCAATAGCTTTTATGCCTTATGTATTCCAGGTTTACACTGAAAAGTCGGCTTAACAACCTGAGCCTTTTAGGACAAGAAACTGAAAATAGTAAGTGGATACTTTATGTGGAAGTAAATTTAATGTGTGAGAATCATGTTTTATACTGGGTATAATGAGGGTGGAAAGGATTAGAGCCTGCCAACAGGAAAACTTAATGCAAATCTTCTAGTTTTGATATAATATCTACTGCTATGAATCACATCTGCCTTGCATTATTCGTATTTTTTTTATTCATACCACCAAAGAAGCAAAAATTTTAAGAATTAAAAGCTTGTAATGTACACAATTGGAGTTATTGGTGATTATTACATGTACATTACATTACATCATATTAATTTTTGTTTGTTTAGTGGCAGAAGGAAATCCAAAGGAGCCTGGAAATGTTGCCAATGGAGAAGATTCTGCAGAGGGCGGAAAAGAGGGCGCCAGTGAGAATGGTGCTGCCTCAGGTGACCAGCAACAATTCCGTGCTCAGAGCTTAGGTCTCCGCATCCAGAAGAAATGGGCAGGAAAACTTGCCAAGAAAGATGTGGCTAAGATCTTCATTGATGACCAGACGGGCCATCTTTTAGATGTGCTTTTCTCCATTGCCAAGGATTACAGTGGAAGCAAGGGACAGGCCGAAAAACTAGTGAAACATATGATCAAAATGCCTATTAAAATAGGAATTCTTTATCGCCACAATCAGTTCAATTCTGATGAGTTATCCCAGGCAGAGAATTTCCGAGAGAAATTCCACGTGGCCGCTCGGACTTTTGTGAAAATGTATGAAGGGAAGATGACCTTTGATGCACAAGTTTTGGCAAACAACCTACGTGAATGTCGGGATATTCTCAAGCTTGTTATCAACAACCACCTTACTCCCAAATCCCACGACAGACTTGACCATGTTGTCGCTTTCTTCGGGGATCCAGAATTCCTAACAGCTGTTTTCCAGAAAGATGGGCCATATCGCCAGCGTTTAGGGGAGATTGTCACAGAATGTCACCAGCTCATGGATCAAGGGATTTTGTAGGCTGAGAGTTTAACAGAAAATATGCCATAAATGACTGTTAACTTTCAAATTACCTTGACTGCTTATGTGATTCCTACTGTAAGTCCACTTCAAGACTCTCCATTCCGTGTTTTCCATTGGAACCATGCCATAGTACGGTAATGACTTGATATTTTCAATGTAGAAAATAACCAGTCTTTCATAGACATAATTTTGTAACCATTAAAAATTGTATTTCTATATAGCATATGTGTTGCGCATACTGTATACCATAGAAATATAGGGTAGCCCACATTTTTTTTTTTTTCTTGTTTTTTTTTTTTTGTTTTTTTTTTTGTTTTCCAACCACATGCTGGCAAAGGCATGTTCTAATTTTAAGAATTTATGACTCAAAAATACAGTTTCTGTTAAATTAATTTTCCCCATTGAAAAGATTGAGTCATTGGCGTCATGTATATTCCCCTTAAGAACATGGTTCTTCTCCAGCAATTTTTGGAAGTTTTCAGAGTGTATATTTTGATTCATGTAGTTGTTCTTTTAATTAGATAAAGAATGAAAATTAATTCTTACGGATGGTACATTGTATGACTTTCGAGGTTGATGAAGACTGGGATAAAGATGAAGCAGTAGAGCTCACAACATCTGCTGATACAAGGTGTATGTACTAGGGCTTCAGCAAGTGTCCAGTAGTAGAATTCATTTTCATTCTTTTAAAGATTATTTATGGTATACTATTCGTGTGTGATAATGTCCCAAAGTAATAATCTCTATGTCTACATATCCTGCAGTGCTACTATCTTTCTCAATTAAGACTTAAAAAAGGACAAAATCTTTCCAATAAAGATTCCTGGTGTCGATATTTTCTGAAAAGTAAAGGAAAACATGGTGGTTAAAGTGTCTGGCCAGTCAAAAAAATTGCAATATTTATTAAATGGTAGTAAACATTTAATCCAGGTGCAGGGAGGGGTCAAGCAATGATTCTTGTGTATGAGGAAATAACCTTTTTATTTCAAGGGGAAAATATAATTTGATAGAAAAATCTGGAATAGGATTCCTTTAAACCACAAAGCTTTTCAAGAGAGTAAGTCTGAAATCTTTATTTTCTTACTTAAGATATGAAAATATAAAATTTAACAGAGGGGGGAAACATGTCAGGGAGATTAAAAAATTATGATGGGCCAACGTGAATGAATTTAGACAATGACTATCAGTACATGTGTACAATACCCACCAATTTTCTATGTATTTGCTGTTACTAAGCAACAAAATGTGGTTGTTTACCACAGATCCGAAACATGATCTCTTGTTTTTCCTTTGGTAGAGATGTTTTTTGCTTTTAATATTAATTTTTTGTTTTATATATTTATTCATTTTTTTTTCTAATGCAGTTAGACCTGTATATGAAGTCACTTGGCTCTCTGATAGTCCAGCAAATATCGCTAGAACATATACCACCCCACAATTTCCATTTGATCACTGGACTTGGGATAGAAATCTCTCAACCCTTTCACAATTGTCACCATTAATATTTTAGTATTTAGACCAAAGTGCTGTATGCATGTAAAAAAAAAGTGAATATGCAAAAAAAAAAAAAAAAATGTATTTGTTGAATGAAGGCAGGGGAGAAATAGCTATTAACCAGATCCTACTGCATAGAAGTTATCTTGACCCAAAGCTCTGAGCAGCATCTGGCCTTGTTTTTCAACAGGCATTTGAAGTTGCTGTTGTTCATGCTTTAAAAATATTGAATTGAAGTGGAAACACATTTCTTACTGACAGTACTCTAAGATAGAAGGTGAAATGTTGAAATTATTGCTGTGCTGACAAATTATCAAGACAATCAAGATGAAATAATAAAATGATTGAGTTGTACATTCCCTGTAAATGAGTATATATGTATCCTACTGCATATGTGCATATCCTACTGCATATGTATACGTAACATTATAAAATTGTCGCAAGTATCATTTGAACATAAACAGATAGTGTGTGGAACTTAAGTGCAATACATAAAAATTTAGATAGAAACTGACAAGAATAAAGTGAATACTGAGATATGCATGTTATTATTATTATTATTATTATTATTATTATTATTATTATATAACCACCCGTTTAACTTATATTCATGGCTTGCTGTACCTGGAAATTTCTGTACACCTCATCTTGCGAATTGCAGTGTTTATAAGATAAGACCAAATCAAGTTGAACATAATGAAAAGGAGAGGGGCATTGTAATGTAATTGCTAACTGATGTAAATATTTTTTGTTGTTTGAAATCCGTATGCAGTACATTATACGCTCAAACTGCTATTTTGTCGTTTACGTTGTAGATGAGTGTCTGATTTGTGTGAAACCATTCCATTTGAGGTACACTGTTACAGTGGTTTGAGAAAATTAGGTTGAGACTTCTTTAATTAAACTGCCATGGTGTAGAGTGGGCTTAAATGAAGCCTCTGTATTAATTAGATCTGTATTGGAATTGATGGAGAGAGATTGAAGGAGTATAGAGTATAAAGACAGAGAAGGAAGTCAATGGAGTGATGAAGGGATGGCCAGAGAAGGATTTTGTAAAATTGTTATTATGAGACGTCTAATTTATTCCATTATAAAATAATGCAAGTGAATAGTGAGCATCTAATAACAGCTTTGTTATCTTTGTGTTGTAAACCTGATAATCAAGCCACAGCATTGTGATCAAGATATGATTTAATATAATTTATCATTTTGTTTTGTCACTTTATTAATATTTGAATTAAAAAAAAAGAATCATTGGTGTTGATCTCTTGTATTTGTATTATCACCAAAATAATGTTGTAGTAATGGGAATGTTATGCAATTTAAATATAAATATATATTTATTCATTTAGTTATTGCCACATTTTTATTCAACATCAATTCTTACGAGTATACTAGTAAACCTTGAGCACTTAGGTTTGTCAACGTTCTTCATCTCATTGTAGGTGACAATGGCTGATGGAAAAAGAGGTTGGCTAAGATAAATAGACAGGCATACGCTGTTTCCATTTGCCTCCCGCTGTGATCATTCTATCATTCTAACCAGCTGCGTCTATAAGCGAGATGATAGGTGTAGAATATTGCTTCCATAATAACCCACAGTAGTGTTAATCAGTAATATTGAAAATTGCCACTTCTTAAACATACGTTTACAGTGTAACCTTGTTATTGAAGTCTTAGATTTATTATCTGGATAATT